ACTCCACTCCGGGGTTGGAAAAAGCCTTTTTTGATACGAGGATGAAAATGGCATGACATGCAGGCGTGTGTATATGCATGAGAATGACCATTCATCATCCCCCTATATAAAAGCTTAATGCAGATCAGATAATTAGGGTTCCAAAGGAATGTCTCTCTCTCTCCATGTATGTATATGCTTAGACTTGGGAATTGGGACCGCCATTCAACATGTCCATTCCCTTTCTTCAATCATTTTTCCAGGACTCCACATGCTCTCTTCATTCCAAAGTCACATGCATTTTTGCAAGGTGTGCTCTTTTTCACCACCAACCATACAACCCCACAAAAAAAAAAAAAAAAAAAAAATTAAAAATTAAAAATTAAAAATTTTAAAAATTCTTATTGGAAGTGTTTATTTGTGGTGTAATTATTCAATACCGGAGCACCATGTGATATTAATTATATGGTGTGTCAAACTAATCATGTATTGCAAATTTTAAGAATTAATATGTGTTGCGATTTCTCATTATAACTAGAATAAGTAATAAATAATATCACGCCGTATACCAAAAGTATCTAATAAATTTTCATATTTATGATTCTTCACGTCAACTAAAAACCACTACTACTAATAACTTGGCTTAAACATTTTGCATCATGCTAATAGGTGATTCTATTGCTAGCTTAGTAGGTTGTTTGGAGTGTGACAAATAGTATCAAAGCTTTTGAAATAACTTTGAAAGCCTATTCACCCCCATTTGTGCATTGGTATATAATATATAAAAAAATAAAAAATAAAAAAAAAGGCCTTGGATGAATTGATGTATTATGTCATATATACAAGTTATTACACATGTATGTATATATATTGATAATTTGCACATATAGGAAAAGTTTGCATGTATAGTTTTGAATATTTGTATCATTGTGCATGGAATGATGATCATCTTTAGAAGACTGGGCCAAACCTATCAAATTGAAGCCCATGAAAGGAAGGTGTATGTTTTATAGCAGTAGGATTAAATTTCACTGGCTGTTTTATAGAAACCGCCGCTAGGGGCTTTAGGGGCGATAGGTGTGTTGTGTTGGGTTTCCTCTTATATGGGCCAGTGGTCCCCACTGAAAAAGCCCATAATATTTTCTTGTTCGAGACCTCCTCCATCGGCCCAGACCACAACCCATTGAAAGGCTAAAAAATACAAAACGTCCTTTTGGGATGATGTTATCATCTAAATATATACTATAATACTAATTATATCATTTATGTCTACACTATTTACATTAGTTCTGATCACATTAGACTTACTAAAATGAGGGTCAATATAATTATATTGAATTTGTGGAATTTTTTTTGTATTTTTTGAAAGCCTTTTTTTTTTTTTTTGTTTAATTGGTGAAAGTCAATGGTTAGTTGTTAGATTAGTTTTTTAGAAAGTTAAAACTCACATACATATACCTTGTAAGAAATTCTTTTTGAAAGCCTTAAGAGTGGTCAATATAATTTATCCAAATTAAAAATTGCATCTCAAGCTTGAAATTGAATTTGTTCACACATTTTTTGAGTGCTTGAATAAAACATAGGATATGACTAGTTTAAAAACGTAAAACACTTAAAATTGTAAAACACTTAGGCCATGTTTGTTTGGGCGGACTGGATTAGTATTCCCATGACTAATAGTCCTAGGACTACGAATCCATTGAATTATGTATCTTATCTTAACTAATAGTCAAGTTTAAAATAATTAGTCCGTACTTTAATTGTTTAACCAAACATCGGATTAATAATTTTATTGGATTATTAGTCCAATCCCAAGCTCATGTCCACCCAAACAAACATGACCTTAGGCCATGTTTGTTTGGGCGGACTGGATTAGCATTCCCATGACTAATAGTCCTAGGACTACGAATCCGTTGAGTTATGTATCCTATCTTAACTAATAGTCAAGTTTAAAATAATTAGTCCGTACTTCAATTGTTTAACCAAATATCGGATTATTAGTCCAATCTCAACCTCATGTCCACCCAAACAAATATGGCCTTAAAATTGTAAATTCTATTATTTTACGCCCTTTAAAAACTGTATTATGTGAGTGTATAAACCGAGTAGGGGGAATTTATTTAAAAAGTGATAACTTCCCTTCCTAGATTTACCACCAAAAAAAATACCGAATAAACAATAAATAAAATAATTTCCCTCATGATGTTATTATAATTTTTATTTTTTTATTTTTTGTCTTGGATGAAACTATTCAACTGGCCATGTTGGCCCATTCTTGCATTGATGGGACTGGACTTCCAGCCCATAAAAATCTTTCATATGTGAGAACAAAGAAAATTATTTATACAAATTTGGGCCAAGAATGAAACTTTTATTTGGTACATGCAAGTGCGGGTGAGCATGGTTCAAATTAGGTTAAAATCAGGAACAAGCTATTATCTATGATTCTTGAAAAATTAGAATCAATTCAATTCGTTTAAATCATGGAACCAATCCATTTAAACATAGATTAGATTGGTTTAGGACCATGAATTCACATAATTAAATAACAAAAAATATATATATAGAACATTTGTCTCAGACTGAGACTAAGAGAGGTCGATGACATCATTTGTCTCTCCCCTACTTGACATCTATCAAACAAGAAAAAGAAATACATCAACAAAAATAGGATTAATATTATTAGAAAAAATAAAAAAATAAAAACATAAATCAAGAACCAAAGAAAAATATCAACAAGAATTTTTACTTATATTTGCCGAAGCCATTGAAGAAAAGATCAACAAAGATGAGATGAACAATCGATTTGAGAGTGTATAGTTCACTGAATATCTCCGATCTGAGATTAAATCCACCGATCTGGCATGAAATCTACAAAAAAAAAATAACCGAGTGTTAGAGAGAGAGAGATCTTAGTGAGTCTAAGAAGAAACCAACAAAAAAAAAACAGAGTATCACCGAGAGAGAGAGAGAGAGAGAGAGAGATCACCGAGAGATAAAGAAAGAGACCAAGCCGCGATTTGATCTGAGATGGATTATCTAGGATGAAATCACAAGAATAAAGAGAGAACTCAGTCTGAGAAAGAGAAGAGAGAGAGATGACTACGTTTGAGAGAGAAAACAAACCAACAAAAACAGTGACCAAGAGAGAAAAAGAGCTCGTCGAGAGAGAGACAAAACTCAGTCTAAGAAAAAGAAGAGAGAGAGCTGACTGCGTCTGAGAGTAAGAACAAACTAATAAAAATAGTGAGAGAGAGAGAGCTCACCAAGAGAGAGACAAGCCACAATCTGAGCTCACTGATCTGACCTGAGATAGATTATCTGAGATGAGATCACAAGAATAGAGATAGAACTTAGTCTGAGAAAGAGAAGAGAGATAGAGATGAGAGTGTGAGAGACAGTTAGTGGCGTGTGATATGTTGAATTAGGGTTTAGCTTTTATATGAAACAATAAATGATAATATGTAGAAGGGTATATATCATAAATATAGACTATTTGTATACGGTCTTTATCGGTTCTAATTCAAAACTGAACCACAGATTCAAAAAACTAATCCAAACCTACCAGATTGGACTGAATTAGATCGGATTACGGATTATACGGATTCCTTACTCAGGCCTACATGCAAGAATATAGATTACATGTTTGATTGACTAATATATCCAATTGGAGATGCACTTTTAAGGCCCAAAGGCTCACCTTGATTGTCCAATTGTTTGTTTTGTACACTAAGAGAAATTTCACTTTTAGCGATTAAAATTTTAGTCACCAAAAGCCTTATTTTAGTCACCAATCACTTTTGTCGACTAATATATTTGGTCGCCCATTTGGTCGCCAACAGATTGTCGGAGAAACAATCAGCGACTAAAATTTTTTTGGTAGCCAAAAGTGACCTATTGGTGACCAAAACTTTAGTCGCCACATATTTTTTAAAAATAATTAAATATATATATTTTTTATTTTTAGCGACTAAATTAGTTAGTAGCCAATTGAGCATGTATGTTTGGCGACTAAATTTTTAGTAGCCAAAAGTTTCACTTTTTGAGAATTGGCGACTAAACATTTAGTAGCCAAAAATTCCCTTTTTACAATTGGTGACTAAAAGTTTAGAGATTGTATGAGGTGTCCTAAATAAGTGCACTTTTTGTCTTTTTAAACTAAAAAGTTGAGGAAAAAAATATGGATGTTTGGGTTAACTTTTTGACTTTTTATGAAAAAATGTGTATTAAAAAATTGTATAAATAAGTGTGTAGGAGAAATTAATGGGGGTAGGCTGTACAGTTGGCAGTGTGGTGTGGGGGTTAGGAGATGAGAAATAATTGCCTCCTTTTCGGACTTGAATCGGACAGTGTTGTTCGGCCCGTGGTGGCCCACCACGAGTCCCGTTTTACTAATCGGAACCGATCAATGTGTAGAACTAGTCGAGTACTATATGCTCGTAAAAAATCACGTTGATCGAATATCGATAGCTATTTGATCGTGATAGTTTTTTTGTCAATTGTTAACTATAACACCATCCACTTTTTATACAAAACTGACTTGATCATATAGTTAGCGATGTCCGATCAATATGATTTTTTACAAATATATAGTACTCGACGAGTTCTACACATTGAACGGTTCAAATTATCAAAACGGGACCCGTGATGGGCCCCCACGGGCCGAACAACACCGTCCTTAAACTTGCCTCCACCTGTGTAATTTGTTCTCAAAGTCTGCACCAGGCAACTCACGTCAGTGTTGCTTTGTACCCTTTTTTTGTATAAAAATAATTTTTTTATAATTTTTTTAGTGAATAGTGATAACTTTTTTACTTTTTTTGTAACTTTTTGTCTTTTTATCTTTTTTGAAAGATCCCAAACTTGCCCTTAGTAGACAAAAGTTTCACTTTTTCACAATTGGCGACTAAAGTTTTAGTAGCCAAAAGCCAATCTGTGATATTTGTTTAGTCGCCAAAAGGTCTCATTTAGTTTTTAAAATTTGTTCTGTAATATTTTTTGCACTGCCTGTAACCTGTGCATATACAAAATTATTCATCCATTTGTTCATTCATTCAATTCTTAACTATTCAATAAAAATGTTTCTCCACAACCTGTAGCATTTAATTTCCAACCATATACAAAATTTAACTATTAAAAGCCATTCGAATGCCTTATTTCAACAAAATGAAATAAGCAGTAAAGAACATAGACACAGACAATGTAATAACCCCTCAATCATCCTTAGCCCTTTGATCTCTTAGTTGCTTAAGCTCTTCAATCAACACCGTCAAATTTCTATGAGATGATCCACCTTCTTTAACAGCTTTCAGTGCCATCTCGTCCAGCACTTTAGACTTCTCTGTCATCATCACCGATGTCCATCACCCTACTCACAGCGGCCTCTATGTTCTCTCTCCTCACCACATTCTTTCCAGCATCAATCCACAAGTTCCAATCCTTCTTGTTAATTACTGAATTGGAACTGTCAAAAGAAACATTATAAACATTGTGGAATGAATTTATAAGACTACGATTCATAAAAAAAATTCACAAGAGGCCAATAATTTCAAAAAACATTCATAAGAAGTCATAAAAATTTCAAACAAGCCCAACAATTTCTAACAAGTGAAAAACATTCATAAAAGTTTCAGAATATTTGTGTATATATATATATATACATGTATGTGTGTATGTGTGTTTGTGTGAAGCTAAAAAAAATGATAGAAAATCTTAAAAAATTGTGTGTGAAGATGAAGATTATACTATTTTACCTTCGGATTGGTTGCAGTAGCAGATAGAACAGAGTTGGCCTATTTTGAACAATTTAAATGAATAAGTATTATGACGCCAACTACTTGTGGGCGTGTGATGCATCTTTCTTATGTGTGAGTACCTAATACCCAAAGTGTGACTGTCTATGCTTCACTTGTTTTTTTCTCCTCCTTTACTTTCACTTTCTTATTTTCTTAAAGTGTAATTGCATTTACAGAGCTGCTTGCCAGATTTGATTTTAAAACGATAAACTCACTATTTAGCCCTTATAAACCATAAGTTGTATCCCAAATCCATCTATAAGCCAAACCTAAAATTAAACCTTAATTTGGTGATAAAAATAAATGATCCTACATCACAGAGCATGTGAATTACTATTATTGTAGTTCTATTTACAACCCCGAACAAAGATATTCAGCACTCAAATTTTTTTTCCCATTAATATCCAAGAAAAATCTACCTCATAGCCTACAATTGAACACCCAAGACCATTAAAATGATGGTTGTCTAGAAATTCCAGCATGTTGTAATTGGTCTATGGTGAATTTTTCATTTAGGCATCGCATCAAACAGTTGGTGAGTAGAAGATGTAACAGGCAGCAAAATTTCAAGGCAAACCACACATGTATCAACACAAACCAAACTCAAAAACAAAGAGGCAAAGACAATTTCCCATCAAGCAAACACAATGACCACTCCTTTTGCTTTTTCTTTTCTTCTTCTACTTTTTCTTTTCTTATTTGAACTCCATTGTTGCTCAAGTTTGAGCTTCGAATATGAGTCATAACCTAGTTAATGAAAATCACAAACCCAAACCCAAATCTTAGAAACACAAATAGGATTGACTCGGTATCTAGTTCAACTCAAATCTTAGAAACACAAATTGGATTAACTTGGTGTCTAGTTCAACTCAATACGTTTTGACGGAGAACCCATCATATATATATATATATATATATATCTTCAATCTATGTACTCTATGTACGTACATATACAATAATACAGTTCAATCGTTACTGAATTGCAAGTCCAAAAAAGCTCTGATTTGGGGAATTCAGAGTACAAAGAACTAAAGAAAAATACCTCTGATTTGGGGAATTCAGCGTCGATAGTGAAGAGCGAGGATGGGTGTCAATGCTGCATTGGGTTTTTACTGCTTGCTAATCTTCCTTTTCAATGGTGGTGGATAGTCGCGGAGTTGCTATGGTAGTAGACTGATGTTGAAGAAGATTATGGGTGGTGAACACAACACCCATCTCTTTCTCTGTACTACAACACCTTAAAAAAGATTATGGGTGATAAGAGAGATCCACCATAGGTAAAGAGAAGAGGAGAATAGAGAGAGAGAGAGAGAGAGAGAGGGAGAAGGAGAGAGAGACGCTGAAAATATATATCATTTTACACAATTAGCGACCACAAATTTTGTAGTCGCCAATTAATTTTATAAATCCCTCCAAAATTTGAAATATCTCTCTCCAAATATTTTAGTTCTTTAGCGAGTAAAACATTTTTTAGTCATTGAAAACACACTTTTGGCGACCAAACTTTTGGTTGCCAAAGATAAAAAGTAAATTTTAGTTTTTCATTCGACGACTAAATAATTTTAATAGCCAAAACTAATCATACAACGACTAAAACATTTTTTAGTTGCTGAAAACACACTTTTGGAGACCAAAAGTTTAGTCAGCAAAGATAAAAAGTAAATTTTTGTTTTACATTCAGCGACTAAATAAGTTTAGTAGCCAAAACTAATCATACAATGACTAAAACATTTTTTAGTCGTTGAAAACACATTTTTGGCGACCAAACTTTTAGTCGCCAAAGATAAAAAATAAATTTTTATTTTTCATTCGGCGACTAACTAATTTTAATAGCCACTAAAACATTTTTTAGTAGCCAATTGTGGCATTTTTAGCGACTAATTTTTTTTTAGTCGCCAATAATCAATATACTCTGATTAAAAAAAATTAGTAGCTAAATATTGTACTTTTGCCGACTAAAAAAAAATTTTGGTTGTCAATTCCACAACTTTTGGCGACTAAATTTTTTTTAGTCGCCAAATTTGATTTCCAAACACTACTAGAAAAATAGTTAAAGATCACACTTTAACAAAAAAAAAAAAAGATCTCACTTTTATTGGAAGTGTGATAAAAAAAAATTAGATTGATATTTTAATCACAGTTAATTTGATTGAGTGTGATAATATTAATTTTTTATGTCACTTTTCAATTAAGTGTGATTATATATATTTTTTAATCACACCTTCTAATTAAAGTGTGATTATATATAAATTTTTTAACCACACATTTTAATTAAAGTGAGATTATTTATATATTTTTTAATCACACCTTCTAATTAAAGTGTGATTATATATACACTACTACTTTTTAATCACACTTTTTAAATAAGTGTGATTATATATATTTTTTTTTAATCACACATTCTAATTAATGTGTGATTATTTATATATTAGGGGTGTACACGGTTCGGATTGGTTCGATTCTGAGAAAATTCAAGAACCGAACCAATCCTAACGGTTTTGTGATTTAGAGAACCGGACCAGATCATTACACTTATAAAATCGGACCAGAACCAAACCGAAAAAACGGTTCGGTTTCGGTTTGGTTCATGATTCCAAAAATTTCTATTTAAAAGAATAAATTATTAATATTAGCAAAATAATTACTCAAACTAATTACATTTAACTCATGATAAAAACTAATAATATTAAGGTATTACTCAACATTACATATCTATACCATCCTAATATCATTAAAATTATAAAAAAACCAATTAATAAAAATAAAACTTGATATTATACATATATATATCTTTTAAAATTCGGTTCGGTTCGGTTCGAACTGCGATTTTTTCATAAAATCCATTAACCAAACTGTTTTTACAGTTCTCATATTTCTTAATTCGAAACCGAACCAATTCTTAATAGAACCGAACCAAACCGTAAGATTCGGTCTCATTCGGTCCGGATTATCGGTTTGAACGGATTTTTGAACAACCCTATTATACATTTTTTAATCACATCTTCTAATTAAAGTGTGATTATATATACACTACTACTTTTTAATCACACTTTTTAAATAAGTGTAATTATATATATATTTTTTAATCATACATTCTAATTAAAGTGTGATTATATATACATTATTACTTTTTAATCACACTTTTTAAATAAGTCCCTAAATAGGTGTGATTGTATAAAATATTTCAATTTGATTTTTATATAAAATATATAATTTCCAAATCCGCGCCTCTATTCTACCCATGAATGACAGAGGCGACTCACTACTAGAAAATTAAACTTTAGACACGGAACTTTTTGCAACGGTTTGAAAATCGTCGCAAAAAGCATGATTTTGTGATGGCAAAAAAAATCATCGCGAAATTAATTTTTTTGCGACGGCATTTGACTGTCGCAAAAAAGGCATCAACTAAATACCATTATTAGAGACAGAAAATCCAAGGCCGTGACAAAAAGTAATATTATACGCAACGGTACATTACTTATCTCTTCTCCTTTTTTTTTTTTTTTTTTTGCAGTGCCTTTTGTTAATCCGTCGCAAAAGATTTTATTTTGCTCATTAATGATGGTCCTTAAACTCGTCGCAAAAACTTAATCCCTAATTGCCTTCGCTCCCTCTCCCACCCTCTTCCTTTTTCTCGCTCATTCCTAAACTTTCAGACTTCTCTTCGAAAAAAAAAAAAAAAAAAAAAAAAAAAAAAAAAACTCACTATTACAAAAACATTTAAAGATCACACTTTGATAAATGAAAACATCTCACTTTTATTAGAAGTGTGATAAAAAAAATTAAATTGATATTTTAATCATTAAGTGTGATAATATTTATTTTTTATGTCACTTTTTAATTAAATGTTATTATATATATGTTTTTAATCACACTTTTTAAGTAAGTGTGATTATATATATATTTTTAATTAAATGTGATTATATTTATTTTTATATATATATAGTATCACAGTGGAAACACAAACAAATCGAACCCTCTCTCTCCCCATCTTCCCATCTCCCCCTCTCACCACTCACTTACGCTATGTTTGGATTTAGTGATTTGGAGAGAAAAGAAAAGAAAAGAAATGAAGTGATATGTATTTCTCTTATTTGTTTAGATAACCTAAGTAGAGAAAAATGGGAAGAAATTGAGAGAAATGAAGAGAAACTCATTTTTCTTATAAGCTTCATTTTTAATTTTCCCAAAAGTGGATAGATTGGGAGAGAAAAGACACCACTATTTTCATAATACCAATTTTGTCCCTATAAAAATAAAAGAAATAAAATGATTGAAAATATAAAAAGGTTATTTTGGTAATATAACATAAAATAATTTCTTTTCTTTTCTCTTAATGAAATCTAACCAAATAAGAATGAGAGAAATCACAATCATTTCTTTTCTTTTATTTATTCCTTATCCAAACAAAAAGGAGAGAAATCACAATCATTTCTTTTCTTTTCTTTTCTCTTATTACTTAAGTAATCATTTCTTTACTTTTCTCTCCTAGGTTCCCAAACATAGTGTTAGCAATAGCTAGGGTTTTATTATCTTTCTCTCCCCTGTATTAGAAACCCTAGCGTTGAAACACCCATCCCCAACAACAACAATCACCATCAGTGTTGGATTTGCCATTATCGATCCGCCGTTGCCCGTCGTGCAGTACCTCCTTCTGCCACAGAACCACCACCTTAGTGCCAACGATGGCAGATCTTGAAAGACGACCAAACCCTAGAGAGCTACGGGTAATTCAATCGATTCTCACAGAACTCATTTTTTATATATGTGAATGTAGATATAGGTATTAGTATTGGAATTTGAGTTAAATGCTTTGGTACCCAACTCAATTTCATCTGTCATCCATTATCCATCAATCTCTCTGTTTTTCTAGAATTCCCAATTTAACACTAACAAACACTCATCAATTTCATATGTGAACTCTTTCTGTGACTTCTGTTCACCAGATTTTCGTTTCACTCTCTTTCTCACCTGCATGCATTTCTCATTATTCTCTCTCACTAGTTTTCATATGATGCTTTCCAACCATCAATGCCGGCTCTAAAAATCAACATCTTAGTGGGTTTTGTTGAGTTTTGTCTCATACGAACTTGACAAGTAAAGGTTGGTACTTTGAATTTTCTTTGTATGCTTCTTCGAACTTCTTGTTGCGTAGATGAACAAACTTAGGCGGAGATTACAAAGTTAAAAACTACTTTTCAAATTTTTTTATTGTATTATTTGTGTTCAATGTGCCCAAAGACTATCTATTCATCCTTTCCTGACTTTGAGTTTACAACAAGAAAACTGAAAATCTGAGATTAGTGGGTCAGCAAATCTGAGTGAAAAATCAAAAAACAGATTTGGTGTTGGTGAAATTCTACCAATAAAGATTTTGAGTATTTTGTCATTAGAAGATCCGAGAAGTGAAAATTTGTGGTTTAGGGTAAGAAATTAACAAGTGTGAGATTGAGGGAACAGAACCACATAAAAATTAGAGATGGGTTGTAATTAAATCTTATGTAGTCAAGAAGATTTCTAGATTTGTGAGGTAGGGAGATGCGAAATCCATATAAAAAAAACGGAGGTGGATTGTTTTCAATCAGGCCAGCATTGTGAATTTGTGAGTTTGTGAGTTTGAGAGTTGCAAAATCTATACAAAATCCAAGGTGGGTTGATTTTAGAAAGCATAACAGTTGAGTGAATTCTTACATCTAGTAGAAATCAAAGCAAGAAGTGACTTCATTGAACTCTTGAGAATGTCTCAGTATTGGCCTGGTAATATTTTTCTCGTGTTTTCGGTGCTTTTCAAAATACTTAGTTGGCTACTTAGAAGAAGAAGGCGTAAGTCAATGAATTTGTTTAATACTTTTCATTTTTTTATCTGACTACATAGTATTTCTTTAACCATTAGCTATTGTGTATGCAATTATGAGCCAAAACATGAATACATTTTTTCTGACCTTGCCCTTATGCTTTTCATTATCATTACCATTTGTTCATCTGCATACAAGATGAACTCGTGAAGATACTCATCCATTGTGACAAAATATACTGAGAAACACATGCACGTAAATATTGTTTGTTTGTTTGCAGCAGAGCTTGAAGCAAGAATCGATGGAATGGGTCATATGGCCACCCAAGGTTGCTTGATCTGAGAAGGTTAGTCCTTTGTGTTTTGATGTTATTATCCTTATAGACAAACATAATTGTTTAATGAATTATGTTTCAATTATGCATCAAATAATTTTTGTAGTTATGTCTAGATGGACGACTTGTTTCATTGAAAAGATGGTTTTAAGAGTAGTTTTCTTTCTCTGTTGGAAGTCATTGATCCTACAATTCAATTTTGGAGATAACGTATT